GTTGGATAAATGTAATCGAAAATAAAGATTTGGAAATGACAATTATGATTAGTATAATGTTTGACTCATTTAAACTAAAGAAAACGAAGAAAATTGTCACATTTCAATGATATTCTAGTGAAGAAGAAAGTTGTTATTTGTTTTCAACTTTTGTATTTCAATAAACCATTTTTTTCTTTATGAAAATACTCGTTTATTATATTTCAAACATGATTTTCATACTTTTTATAACTTCAAAACATTTTCTTCTCTTACTTGTCGAAAATTAAATCTTTTTAATGATTTTTTTTTCTGTAAATGAAAATGACAAATAATTTGTATATGGACGAAATCTTGGTGACCTTTCATTTGATATAAATCAATCGTTGATACCTCAATTAGATTCATTTCTTACCTTTTGTTTTGTCAAAAAGTGATGCATATAATTGGTAAATCGTTTTTTTTCTTAATTGATTAGATGAAAGTTAAGAACGAAATCAACAGAAAAACGAGAAATGATAAACAGAGTGATAAATGACATAATAAGTGAATAATGAATGAAAATTTCAATTGTTTATGTAAACAAAATGCAAATCATTTCGCACTAATAGATGGTTTAAGATCAATATCATTTCTAAGTATTTTTCTTCCATTTTATTGTGATATTCAATGGTTTAATTATTTAAAAAGTTATTCATTTCGTTTAACACTCATTTTTGTTTTATCTTTTAGAAACATTTTTTGTGATTTCTTGTTTTCTTTTAACAAACAAATTTCTTCATCAATGAAAATCTGTTCAAATAGAAAAGAATTTTTCGTTGAGTTTGTCGATATTGGTCTGGAATTCTTTTAATATCTTTAATTATATATTTACTTGATGATATTCAAGGAAATTATCTTAATATTTGATTATTTTTTCAAAATTGTATTTCGATGAAAACTTGATCAATTACAATAAATCATTTATGGAATATTAGTTTAGATATGCATATTCATCTTGTTCTTTCTTTCATTTGATTTTTTAGTTATTTTATCAATTCCTTATATGTTTTCCAATTTTAATTCTAAAACAATGAATATTCTTTCTATAATATATAAATACAATACCTTTACAATTTTATCATTAGAAAAGACTGTTCAATGGATAAATACGAAATTTAATAGAACAATTCCTTTCATTGAATTTAATCCAAATCCGATGAAAATATTTATGGAAGAATTCTATATGCCATCAATCAATCGATATGGAACTTTTCTCACTGGATCTATTTTAGCAATAAAACTTCATAATTCGAAATCAAATGAAAATATTCGATTAAATAAATATTTTTATTTATTTTTATATGATAATTCTTGTCTCATCACCAACATCTTCAATTAAAAATAAACAAATTCTGATCAATGATTGGATATTGATCCTCTTTACTTGTTGTAATCGACAATATAATTTGTCATATGTCAAGCATTTCTATTATTCACTACATTTTGTTCGAAATCACATCCATATCATTGTTCATTCATCAAATCGTTTTTATCTCTTCGAATTTGGTCACCAATTGTAAAATTTAGTTTTCTTATCTATGCCATTCATTTTCCCATTGCATTTCATTTGATTATGAATGGAAAATTTTAACAAATCAATTGATTCTTCGATTGATTATTTCACTTTATATTATTTATTTATCGCATCGATATGTTACAGATTTGTTGAAAAACCTTTTCAAACATTTATTTATCAAATTTTGATCGAGAAGAAACACGAATAAAATTGACGCGCCAAGAGAAATTCTTCGTATTTTGTTATAAGAAGAAAAAAAGATTTTCAATGGAAAAAGTTTTGTCTGATGATATTCAAGAATATTTTAATAAAATTTATCAAAGACAAGAAGATCTTTTCAAAGAAAATTACAAAAAACAAAGAAGATTTGAAAAACTTCTTAATGAAATTCTTTCGAAACAAGATTTCTTAATGAAAATCCTCCGAAAACGAAATCAAATCAAAACAAAACAAAAAATTAATGAAATTCTAACTATTTATTGGAAAAATAATTCGTTGAATAACCTACAAGAAAGAATCTCTTCGTCATTTAAAAATACACCAACTGAATCAACAGTTTAAAGAGAAAACAAACGAATATTATTTCATTTTTCTGTATATTCACATATCCCTTTCCGGCCGGCTACCAGAAAACAGCAAGCAAAAGATTTTCTTTATATATATTCTTGTTACTTTAGTTATGAGGATCAATTTTTCAGCCCCGAATTTTTGGAGAATCCTGTACCCCCCTACGGCAAAATTGTATCCATATGGATACACCCGGCTGGAAAGGGATATACATCGTGAACATTTTTCAAAAGGTTAAATTTCTTTCGATTAAATGACGGAAATAGGTCGACAACTATTCTTTGTATGAAATGTCCTATTTTCTCATAAGTATTTCGTTTCTTTTTTGCGAAAGTCAAAAATTTTCTCAAAATATCGATGAGTGATGAGAATAACGACAAACTGACTTTCAGTCTATTGAAGGTGCAACTTGTAGTCAATGATCGTAAGTGAAAAAAAGAATTGAAATATTATTTATAATACGTCAATTGATCGTTAAACAGGATCACTGGTAGTATGAACTCATAACGGTGGAAAAGTATTCCCTGTTGGTAATATGGAAACTGAGAAGAATACTGAGTTGTATTGTATGATCCATCAGTATTATAACTTTAAAAAACACAGTTTCTTTTTGAAAAAATTTATCATGAAATGCTTTGTTACTGTTTGCAACAACCTTTATGGAGTGTTTTCACATGCTGAAAAGTAAAAAAAAAAGTGCCCTGATTTGTTATATGCAGCGCTTTCTCGAAATATTCATTTCGTCGTTCTGCAGGACATAAATTAGATGTCATATTGAGCTTTGTATTTCATCTTCGACATAGATATAAACGTGTTCCATCCACATTCTAGTCGAAGATATATATAAATCTAGAGAATCATTAAAAGTTCATGTCTCAATCTCCTCAGCGCTGCAATGTGATCGTTCTTAGCGAACTATGAACTCCAAAAGACTACACTAATAGGAGTTTTTCCGGCATTTGTTGCTGAAACTACACATTTCCAGAAACTCATGACATAATTCTCTGCTTCATCTCGTTTAGGGCGTTGCAATCTTTTCCGAATCTCATACAAAAGGTTAATAAAGCGAATAGTCACGAAAAAAAGAGAACAATTTCCAATGTCTGAGTTTTGAATATTCATTACGTTCACTATATGGTATTATGTACTTTTCTATTGTAACCTTTTCTTCTGTTTTTGTTTTGTAAGACTTTATTCCATTTACTAAATAGAACAAATATTATGGATATTAATCAAAGTAAAGTTTAAATTTCACTATATTAATTCAAAATTTATTGACATACGTTTGTGAACAAGTGGAAATCACTGATTATATGGAACGATCACGTATCACTTCAAATGATTTTTGGCATCATGTAGAGTATTCATCTCCGGAAAGATTACCATCACTTTCTGCAACAAATGAAGAAACAAGACGAAAAGATAATGAGTAAATTTATCATATGAATTGTAAAATCTGATATTTATGAGAAAGGAAAATTTCGAATAACTTCTATGTTACTTAATAGACTAATGAACCATGTTGTTCTTTTTTTTTATTCTATTGATCAACTTATAGGATATTTATACTTCGTCATCCTTATTATTCCTGTTGTCCAATTATTATCTGTCTTATTCTCTTGTATGGGATCATCATTGGTCTTTTCCTTGGTCTCGATCATTGTAAGTATTCTTCTTTTTATCTCATTTTTCTTATCCGACTTTTTCTTCTATGAATGAATGAAAAACAGCGAAATCAAATTCATTATCTTCTATAAATGAAAGTAAGTCAATTCTAATTGAAATTCATCGTGTATTTTCATCAGGTCAAAAATAAAACATTTCAAAGCTCATGTGTTTTCTAATATTGTATACAGTGAGTATTATATTTCTTCAGATATGACCACAGCAACATCAAGTATCACTACGATAAGTATAATACACAATCAGAAGATAAATATGATAAACTTACAAAAATTTTAAATAATCATTATTCTAGGATCAACAACAATCAATACTACCGGCTCAACTTCAATTTCCAGCACTACAACATCAACAGGTAAAATCTATAAACTATATTTAATACAGTATAAACTCTAGAGATAATTAAATAATGACTATTCTAGTATTAATAACTACATTAACAAGTAGTACAACTTATGTTTCTTCAACAAGTATGTGGAAAATATCCTTTGACAAAATATCGATTAAGACTAATATTTCCATCACTGTAAACACTTATCATCTTCTAAACATTTACTAAAATAATCTGTATTTATTACATCTAAATTATTCTTAAAAGGTAGCACATCAACAACAACTTCGGCTTCAAGTAATATTCGATGTTCTAATTCATTACTCAGTGAAATAGAATGAATTTTAGCTATTTCATCCACGACTACCACAACTCAAACAAGTAATGTCATGTTTCAATTCGAAACCATTTGTGTTCATTTTTCTTCTTTAAAATATCTGTCTAATCATCATTATCTGATATTATAGCAACAACGACAACCGGTAAACGATTGAAATACGAGATTCTCTTTTATATATGTAAATATATATATTACAGTATCTCGCTGTCAGATGGCTGATTTTGGCAGATTGCTGACTCAGAGTGGACCGACTAGTTGGTTCCAATTTTCATATACTTATATAGCAACGAGTATCGAACCTACACTTCGTTTTATATTCGATGGTGGCCCAGCAGACTGTTCTTATTTGGATAATATTTCGATCACTGATAATAATGCACCTTCTGTTCAACTTCTTAGTAATCCGAGTTTCGAAAATTCGACATCATCACCAGTTGGATGGAATGTAGCAAATTCATCTACATGTCAAAGTGGTACTCAGGGACAAGTAATTACGAGTGGTTGTCAAACGTCATCTGGTAATAATTGCTTCAAAGCTTATTGCGTGAGAGGTTATGAATATTTGTTTCAATCATTTAATGCAATTATTGGAGATTTTTATACAATTTCCTTTTGGTTGGAACAAACAGGAGGCCCAGTTGCTTGTATATATGTCGACGTTATTTGAAAAAGAATCGACTGTCTTTGGTCTGGAAAACGAAGGCAAAGTATTTCAAACTTTTATTGATCACATTTCTATCCACCATTTTATTTCGTTTTTTACAATAAAGAAAATTCTTTTGAAACAAGATTTTTAATTAAAATATTTCGAAAATAAAGTCAAATAAATTTGAAACCTTTAGAGAAATTTTTTAACGAAAAACAAACACCAGAATCAATAGTTTAAAAGACACGTGATGATTTCATTTATTCAAATAATATAATGAGAATTCCAATTAAAATAATCAATAAATAAGAGAATCAATGAAAGATTAATCATTATATGAACTGTTCTACTTTTTAAACGAACATGAATGATTTGTTCTACTTTTCACAAATTTATTTTGAAGATGAGAACAACGTCAATATGTCGCATTCTATAAAATGTACCACACAGACGATGATCATTACAGAAAAAGAAAGATTAGAACATGCAAGCAAATATTATTATTCTCACAATCAGTGTCCTATTTGAATACGTATCCGCAAAAAGTATGTAATGTTGATTGTTCGATGGAAACATGATATAAAAAAAAGTATTTATTTATATTGTTCAGATTGGCGTTTTACTGGAAACATGACCGTTCCCAGAGAATATCACACAGCAACCATGTTAATCGATGGAAAAATTTTGGTTGCCGGTGGAGACGCTGTGAGCTCTGATTGGAGTACGGCAGAAATCTATGATCCAACATTAGGTCATTGGACAACCACTGGTAACATGAATTGCACTCGTTCGATGCACACAGCATCTGCACTGAAAAATGGAAAGATATTAATTGCTGGTGGAGATACTGACACAGCTGAGTTATATGATCCTTCAACTGGTCGTTGGGCAAACACTGGTAATATGAACCATGCGAGATTTTTGCACACAGCATCTGTACTGAGTGATGGAAAAGTATTAGTTGTTGGCGGTATGAGTCAGGATCAAACTGCTGAATTGTATGATCCAACAACAGGGCAATGGACACAAACTGACGATTTGAACTATTCTCGACAATATCACACGGCCACTGTTTTAAATGATGGAAGAGTATTAGTCGTTGGTGGGACAGTTAATAGTGCGGAAATATATGATCCATCTACGGGTCATTGGACTCTAACAAATGATTTAAATGACAAACGAGCATTGCATGGAGCGTCCATTTTGAAAGATGGAAAAGTCTTAGTTATAGCTGGATTTACTGAAGATATGAGATATGTGACTAGTACTGAAGTTTATGATCCTTCTACTAACAAATGGACAATAACAAGCAAGGGAGCTGTAGGAGGATTATTTGTCAAAACAGTTTTATTACGTGATGGAAGAGTTCTAATTGCAGGTGGAGATTTTTTGGACCCAGAACCATTGATTCGTAGTTCCACTAATTTTGCTGCAGTTTACGATCCAAACAGTAGAAATTGGATGACTCTTGGCAATATGAATATTGCTCGATCGCATCATACATTAATGGCATTGAACGATGGAAGAGTTTTAGCAATTGGAGGAATAGATGATTACACTACAAATACAGTTGAATTTTATAATCTATAAATGAACAGAATTTATCGTAGAATTGTTTTCGAAAATTTGAATTCAACTGACAAATTATTAAACGATTTAAAGATTACAATAAAAAGAAAAAAATAAATTAAGATGTGCATATCTGAGTTTGTTCTTTGTTCATAAATAACTGACAATTTTCTTTGATTTTGGATAAAATATGTAAAAGTAGTTGTTTCATCGTCCCTGCTTCACATTGATTATTCATTCGATAAATGGGTTGAGTCATAACTATTCGAATAAAATATGTATTCATAGCACTCAGGATATTTATATAGAAAAATCTTGTTTTTTTTTCGTAAACTTAAATATTGACTAAGGTTTCATTCATTGTAATGCAACTATGTTATTTTCGTTAAAAAATCATTTAAAACAACAAATTTCTTTTTCTTATTCGAAAAAAATTCTTAAATATTTCAATGTCTATATGCTCTAGTATAATTCTGAAGTTGCAAAAACAACTTTTTCTTCGTTGAATAACAATAATGTTCAATTTCACATTAATTTGAACACTTCAATATCTGCTACAGTAAAGTTTCTCGACCCAGTGAATGTATTCGGACCAAGATTCAATGAATTAGGATAACTACTTCCTAAGTTCGCATATGAATTAGTATTGGTATTACTTAAAGTAGCGATATGTAAATCATGACCACCCCCAAACGTTGGCCCATAACCTGGATGATTATAACAGCCATTTCCATTATTATTATAGATAAATTTCGTTGGTGGACTATTGTTCGCATTTTTAAGAACAAACAGAAATGAATTTCCTGCATTTGAATATGTTGAATTTGATATCCAAGATTGTGAAGCATAACCACCGAATAAATGACCAGTTGTCGATTGAATAATTGTCATTGTTGGACCTTGATTATCACATAAACTATGAAATTTTGCACTTTCAAAACCATCTCTTGTTGCTTTATAAATTAAAATCCAACTTTGATCTTTTTTTCCATAAAATTCATTTAACTTGATTTGTTGTTCAATATCCAAAAGATTAGTTGACCGAAAATAACTTCTTAATAACGAAACTAAATTGTTCAATCGATAAAATTCTGCTTCAATAATTAAACGTTCTCGAAATTTCTCATCAATTAATTTGTACGTTGTTGAATCTCTCATGAAATTTAAAATTTCTGCAAAAAGATCTCCATCTCGATCGATAAAATATCTTCCTTGATCATCTTTTTCGATTTGACATTGTTTGGAGATGAGAGCGGTGAAAAACGTGTCTTTTTCTTTTGTCAATGTTTGAACAGTTGTTGAAAATATTCTTCCACCAACATCAAATGAAACTTTTCCTTGTACAGTTATTGTATCAAGATTGATTTTTAATTGTTTCCATTCATTTGTGTCATTTGTTACTGTACACATCATTTCTTCATTTGTGTCATTTGTTACTGTACACATCATTTCTTCATTTGTTTCTTTGATTTGATTTAAAATTCCTTTTAATTCATTTGATGCATCTGTTACTGCATTTATTATTGTTTCATTTAATTTCTCAGTTATTTTCGTTAATTGTTCACATTGATCTTGTAGAGATTTGATTTTGTCCGATGAAGACGCCATTGTTTGTGTTTTCCCCTTAAATTCTGCAAGGAAGAATGACGATTTAAAAATTTCATAAATTTCCCCACAATTTGATAAGTCAGTTTTCATTACCAATAGCATTTTACCTTTCAAATAATCAGCAACGAATCAGAATATGAAGGTACAGGTATGCAGTACGAGATTTGCATGCGATCCTATCAGTATTGCATAGATGTCGATTATCTCTTTATTTAGAAGTTTTTTCTTCAATGAAAATAACATGGAAACTTGAAATAAGCATCGCGACATTACATGCGAATGTTAACCGTAATGTTTTGGATTCTTTCGACAGATGAGATCTCATCTTCGAACTATTTCCTTTGATATTAATTGATTTTTGTGGTATTTTAAGCATTCTGAATTCAGTCGTAATTAAGCTTTCAGATGTACAGAAAAATACCTACGATAGTTAATCTTGACATTTTGGCTCTTTTCTGACTTACAAATATAAATTTGATTAGTTAATATCTTGTCACTAAGAGGATAAAAGCACAAATCCGCGTTAAATGAACAAGTAGAACAAATTTGATCGTATCAAGATTTTTCTTTATTTATTTGTCAAAATTTTCACATATATGTAGAACGACCCAGGTTATTATGGCGCGGTGGGTTCCGGTCGGAATGATCGACCTGGGAAGAACGAAACAAATTTTCTCATATACTGTTGAATGTGTATGTTGCACGAATAATTGAGATTCAGGAAAATCTAAACTTCTGCTAGTCCTATGACAAATTAAAATTTCAATTTGTCCTGGAAAATATCCAGTTCGAATTGAGATTCCATTTTGTCCTTGGAAAACTTTGACCGTCAATTTGCCCTATGGGAAAATTCTAAATTATCCTGGATGTATAAAACAGACGTCATAGTTTAATTCGTTCTATAGGATAAAATACAATATTTTTTCTCATCCGCTACAACAATGAGAACAGAGCAAGAAGTACAAATAGAGGAAAAGTTCGGTAAGATGGTATAAGTAAATATTCAAACAAACATCTCTGTCTTATATCGATGGAAGTCTTTTATAAATCGCTCGATAAATATATCGAAGATTTGATTTAATTTCATAAACAACACTTTGGCCACTTATTGTGATCAATTTAAAGTTCTTTGATACCCAAAACTTCAGCTTCGAATCGCCCCAACCATCCTGTAAAACCCAAATAATATCATTATACAATATTTGTGTTACGCAAAACTTTTCCCGCTACTTTTCATTCAAATCTTCGATATATTTATCGAGCGATTTATAAAATACTTCCATCGATATAAGACAGAGGTGTTTGTCTGAATATTTACTTATACCATCTACCGGACTTTTATCGGCATGAAGCTAGCACCAGATAACGAAAAATCATAAAAATCTTATGTTGAAATGAATTCCCATCCGTAGAAATAGGCTCATTCGACGCAGAATTTAATTCTACATCGAATGGTACCGTTCTTATCGACGGAAAAACGACTGAGAAAATTTTATAAAGATTTTTCTATACGTTTGTGTCTGGAAGGGNAAAATCACAAAAATCGTATGTTGAAATGAATTCCCATCCGTAGAAATAGGCTCATTCGACGCAGAATTTAATTCTACATCGAATGGTATCGTTCTTATCGACGGGAAAATGACTGAGAAAATTTTATACAGATTTTTCTATACGATTGTGTCTGGAAGATCAGTGTGAAGCTAGCACGAAGAAACTGTGTGTAAGCTAAAAACTTTTTCCAGAGTTTATCCGGTTCATAAAACCTAGTCCATTTGATTCAGAATTTAATTCTGCATCGAATGGTGATATTTTTATTCACCGGACAAACTTTGGAGAAAAGTTTAACCACATCTTTGTTTGCCTCATATAGGTCTATTTATGTTTCCGATAATTTTTTTCCAGTTTGTCCGGTGAATAAAAATACCACCATTCGATGCAGAATTAAATTCTGAATCGAATGGACTAGGTTTTATGAACCGGATAAACTCTGGAAAAAGTTTTTAGCTTACACACAGTTTCTTCGTGCTAGCTTCACACTGATGTCTGTGGAAGGAAAAAATCTAAATAGAATCTTCTCAGTCGTTTTCCCGTCGATAAAAACGACACCATTCGATGTAGAATTAAATTCTGCGTCGAATGAGCCTATTTCTACGGATGAAAATTCATTTCAACATAAGATTTTTTTTACTTTTCGTTATCTGTTGCTAGCTTTACACCGATTGAACCCTTTTCCTCTATTTGTACTTATTGCTCTGTTCTCATTGTTGTAGCGGATGAGAAAAAATATTGTATTTTATCCTATAGGACAAATTAAAATATGACGTCTGTTTTATACATCCAGGATAATTTAGACTTTTCCCATAGGACAAATTGACAGTCAACGTTTTCCAAGGACAAAATGGAATCTCAATTCGAACTGGATATTTTCCAGGACAGATTGAAAGTTTAATTTGTCCTAAGAAAACTGAAAGTTTCAATTTTTTCTGCGATATATGTTTAGTTTTTTATTTGACTACTTTGAAGTATTCGATTCAAGCGAAATTGTTTTGAAATGCTTTTCTACAAAGATTTATCTTCTCTTCTTTGACATGACAAAACAAAAATTGTCTTACATTTACTTGAATTTATTCACTTCTTTGAGTATAAATTGAATGTTTGCTGATGTTTTACAATAATCAAGATTATTTTCATCGTTTGTTGAAATTTGTCGATCGGATTTCAAATCAGATTATCGTGCTCAGCATTTTCAAACATTTTTCTATTATTTGTATAAATAGATATATTCTTTGTATTTTCATAAGTTTCTTTGACTCTCTTAAAAGTAATTCCATGCGCAAGAAGTTCAACGAAGTCATGCGAATGTCTGAGATGCATAGTAATTACGCGTGATAAAGGCTCGTGTTAAGAGGATCCGTGTTCACTTTTCAAACTAAAACAGGTGAGATTGAAATCTTTCCTTCCTTTGATGAATTGTATCAACAATCAAAATATACTGTCAGATACAATTTGAAAAGCTTTACAATCTTGTCACAATCATCTATGTTGACAACATTTCCCTATTTTTGACAATAACAATTACAAGTTTAGTAACATCATATTTTCCTAACATATTATACGAGAGTAACATGACATTGTTATTATATTTAATATATTCTAAGTAATTACATGTTATAAAGAGTTCACATAGCAGCATTGGCGGGCCGGGGGTTTTTGAGTATGGTATATTTCAGCTTTAGAACATGGGACCAAGATGAAACTTATGGAAGATGATAAGG